TAAGATTTCTAAGATCTTAAAAAGATCATTATGTATTATACCTGCTATGGTCTGCTTGTTTTGCGTTGCTAGCTGCACCTGTTAAACAAAGAGCAAGGTCAACATGCGCTCAACTATAGAAGTTATCAATTTCCTAAAAGACCCCCCACAATGAGCAATCCCCGCGCCAACGTGTGGAAACGTTATCAAGGAACATTGGGCGCTCCAAGTGGGCCGCTGGCTTAACACATCTACTTAGCAGATTCACCTATGCAGTGTGTCCCAGACTTTATAATAGTGTTACCTCGGAAAACATTCTGGGCGGGTTCGTTCATTGTGAGGGCCACTTAAATGGTCATTTTTCAATAAAAGAAATGGACTTACCATTTGTGGCACACCTCCGCTGCTAGTCATGACAAGTGACTTACGGCCTGGAGTGGAAGTTATAAGACGGCCCCCCATCACTATTTGCTGTTGAGATGTTTTGGCTACCTCAGTAGAAGGAGACCCTAAGACTGATCGAACATTTGTACCAGATACAGGTACAACAGACTCCACACTATCAATTGACACAGCCTGCTTTTTCAATGATTTACGTGCGACAGCAGGACTTGTAGGAAGGCGTGCTGAGAGAATCGTGCGAGCAGATTGAGAGGGTGTTGTAGATGTAGAATTTAAACTTGGCACGGAACTAGTTCCTGATGAGGCAGGGGATGGAGTACTAGGCATCAAGGGTAGCTCCATAGGAGTATTCCATAGAGAGCCACTTGTAAGTGATGCAGCAGGTCGAGTAGTCACCTACAATAGGCAAAAGTTTGTAACGCACTTGCCACACAAATTAATCACAACTGTTTGCTGACTGCTACAATTTACCTGTATTGTGTGTAGACCAGTGGGCATGTTTGTCACTTCAGCCTCAACTTGGGGAACTTGTCTTGGAGTACTGTTAATGCTTGATGTCACTGCAGCAACAGCAGCCTTTGTCTATGAGTAGAAAAGGGTACAGCATAAAAAATTGTGCTTCACATTCCAAATTGGTGTTGGGTTTAGCTCAGATAAACGGATACAACATACCTCTGCCTTCAAGTCTTTTTCTTTCTTTACCCTGCCTCCTGACTTTCGGTATTTTGATTTTCCCAAACCTTGCAGTTGGTGCATTTGCTCTGTAACAATGGAGTTAGAAGGAGGTGAATTCTGGTTAAAACTGAATGATCCAGCAATGTTGCTTCACTTACCATACTCTTCCATGGTTCTATTACGATGAAGGCATACCCAAATTTTGCGTTTTGGTTCATACTTAACACATGGGTCTGGTTCATAATGTAATCTATCCAGGGCACCACTGACAACAGATTGAACAGTTTGTTCAGTTGCTCCCGGTTTCAAATACTGTGAATCTTTTAAAAGTTCACATATGTCCATTCGAGTTCCCTGCCCATTAGGGAGTCTTGCAACAGCATCTCGTACTACAGGCAAAATAAAAATAGTCATTATGGTAAAATAATCAATTAAAACTGAGCAACGTTTACTGAGGTAATAATTACCAAGAGCTAAAATAGTGACATAGTTTGGCCTGTCACTAACAAGAAGTGAGTGGCCTCTTGGCTTCACGTTCAACGATCCAGTGGAGTAAACACCTCGAAGAGGTCCAACAACACTTTCATATCCATGCATTTTATAAGTAAATGCTCTGAGAGGATTAGCAAATCGTTCTAATTCCTATATTAAAAATAACAACAGATCAAAGTTGTTAAGTTGGCTAAACCTGTTTTTTTTTTTTTTTTTTTTAAAGAAACTGGTTAGATAAGTACATTTTTAATATTTTAAGTAAAATACCTGAGATCGGAACTGTTGTTTCTCTTCAAGTGTTGTTTGTCTTACTACCCAATCAGTTGGATTGCAAGATGGTGGAGGACTATCCAGACGATCTGAGTAATCATTTGTAGGGTCTACAGGTAAATAGACACCCATCTCCTCATCATCAACATAGATATTATTTTCTGTCTCTACAACAGAGTCCTTCTTCTGGTTAGTCTTATTTGCTTTTGATTGCATTTCAGCAGCTTCATCACACCGTTCTAACCAATAAGTGCAAAGAGGCATAAGTAGGTTATCAGAATCCCTTCCAGCTCCTATCCATTGGTATTTACGAATTGATGGCTTGTATTCTAGGTACGGGACAAATTCATCAGGGTGCATATCTAAAGGAAGAAAGTCAAGTTAATCATGAACAAAATAAAAGTTACTTTAAAACATTATCTACTTTTCCATTAAAAATTTTTTACCAGGAAGCTGGCCAGATAAAAATGTGAGTGCTGACGTCAAAGAAGATACCCAGCCACCTGAGTTAGCAGCTTGAGGGTACCAGTCATTTAAAGGTGATATGGGACTTTCCTGCCATCTTCGCAATCCAGCCTGCAAGTTGCTCAAGCTCATGGACTGCTCCTTGGCAGAGCATATCAAGTCACGCAAAAGCGCAAAGAAACACGAATGAGTTTCTTGCATCAATGAAGGAGTAGCACTAAAGTTAAAAACAAAAGAAAAATAATTATGGAAGTTTTGATAGATGTGTATTGTTAAATGTGTAGTAATTTCACACAGATTGGTCAGTATAAAAAATACGTACGGTAGATCTTCAACATTTACTTCAGGCTCAGGATCCTCTATGTCAATGGGCAATGACATCATGTCTATATTGGACAGATCAGGGAGAAGTGATGCATCTTGAGTAGCAGGGAAAGATGTGGCTTGAACTATTTTCACCCCAACATCTTCTTCTTTCAGCTGCTCCTGAAGTTTCTGTTTGTGTGATGAAATTGGCAATGACTGTTGATACTGATTTTGAACCTTTGGCGGTTTAGAATCACTAGATGACATTGATGCATTTGATCCTAGAAGGAAAAAGAAATTTGATAAAGTTCATGATGAAAAGCTAATGACTGGCGTTGGACAACACCTACCACTGTTAAGAAGACTATCGACAGCATCTTCAAGCTCTCCTTTCAGTATTCTTCTACTTGTTGGCAGTCCAGATAAATTATTAGGTTTACCAATGCGGGAAGTGTTGCTCTTTTTTGGTTTTGTGCCAGATGAACGAGGTGTTGTACCGGCAGGAAACTTTTCTAGGTCATTTTCTATAAATCTATCCCACTCATCTTTATCTTTTTCTTTGTTTAGTACTTTTTCTTTTTCCTTTTCTTTTTCTTTCTCTTCCCAATCTTTTTCCCATTCTCTCCCTCTGACAACATCCTTGATTTCACTATCTTTTTCCTTCTCAAGTGCCTTTTTCTCCAATTGAGCCCTCTGGGCTTTATCTATGTTCTCCAAGAGACGAGTAACAGATATAATGTCATCATCATCTGATTCCACCATGTCTGAACTATCTGCCATCTGAGGGATAAATATGCACATTGATTAAACCATGTAAAAATTTGGGGGGATGAAAATACTATAATAAAATGTCAATACGCATGTACCGTGAGAGGACTGGAGCTTGGCACAGTTTCTGGTTGCATTTTGCTATTTCTCCTTTTCTGTATTTGTTTCGGTATGGGTTTGCCAAGGGCTTCAAATTTCAAGCTGATAGGTAGTCCTTTCTTTGACATAACTCGGTTTGCCCTATCAACAACATCATGTAAACTTCTACCAATGCAACTGAGCTCAGGATGGGTCTGAAACCAAGATACAACATGAAGTATGTAATCTAAGTAAATTAATTTCATAAATCAGAAGTAATAAAGACAAATTTTCCTCACATCCCCGGCCAATCTTCTTTTTTTGTGTCGAATCAGCATGTTACGATATGCTTCATCTGAAAGTTCATAGGGGTTATTAGAAGCTGTAACATTGGCAGCCAAATCTAAACCAGCAGGCTTAGCAGCCAATGTTGAAACAACTCTTCTCATTTCAGGGCATATTGATGTTTCCAGAACTGATAATCGACGTTTCAGTTTTTTGTTCATTTGAGCAGGTGGTCCCTCTGATAAATTAGAACAGAATTAGATTAAAAATTTCAATAAATCAAGTACATGACAGGATAGAAATGGAAATACCTGGATAATTTTCATCCTCTGAGCTATGACCGGATTCACCAACTTCTTGCCTGACAGCTCGAAGTTCTTGGAAATACCTGCGTCTTGTACGAAAATCTCTTGTAGACAGCTGTTGAGTTCTTGGAGGTGCTGGTAGACGAGGTACTTTCGGGTTCATACCAGGAGGCAAGACATTTGCTGCCTGCAGAAGTTTTTGTCTGGACACCAGCACTGATTTCATAACGCGAAAATAGTAGCGTTTTTGGCTGTAACTAAAATAATTCCAATGATAAGAAGACTACTTGAAATCTCGTTCTTACATAGCAGATGACATTGTCCTTACTTGTACTCCCTGTTCAGGGCTTTCCTGAGCAAGCGCCTCATTCGTGCAATATCAGGCCTAAAATATCCGTTTTTTAGATTTCTATGGAAATCTTTGAGAGGATTACCAAACCTTATATTTTCTCCATTCAAAAGTAGCTCAAGAGTAGTTTCTTGTTCACTATCATTATTAGATTGAAAACTTGGTAGAAATTTCTAAAAAATTTAAGATTTTTATTTTAAATTAGCAGTTCAACTAGCATATTAAAGTAATGCTCTTACATATATACCTTGAGATGTTCTTTGTTGGCAGCTGACAAACTCTGCCAAGTCTCGTATGACAACAATTGCTGAAAAACATCCTCTTGTTCGCAAAGCCCTTGAGGGAGTTTCAAAAGAGCACCATTGACCTTTAAAAAGTGTGTTAGAATAATAATTAAGATTTGTATTAAAGTACAACACCAATATTTTGAATCAGAGATAGATATTTAATCAAAATCAAACCTTGCAATCCTCTAGCTTTGTTGATGGAACTGATGATTCTTCTGATGAGGAGGACGAACTGTCGGAGCCACCCAGTGATGAATCCTCAGAAGAGGAAGACGATGAGGAGTCTGTAGAGGACTCCCATTCACCGCTGGATGATTCATCCATTCCGTCCTCCATCTCTACGAATTAATTGATCTGTAGCTATCCTAAAACTGAATGCTCAGCCTGGACAGACAAAAAGGTAAGCAACACTATTAGTAAACAGGCTAAATAGCAATTTGTATTTTTTAATTTGTACCCTACATCAGAATAAACACTTTGATTGACAAGTAACTTACAAATGCTAAACAAGTTTCAATTTAAAATATGTGAGAATTAGGCCATACAGTGCAGCTACCATTGAATAGGTCTCAAACTGATGTACTGTGTGAGCAGAAAGATTCATAACATAACCTAAGATTCTGTCTGACTAACTTTCTTAGGGAGAGGTAAACATTTATCAATAGATGGGAGTTAATGTGAAAAGAAAGACAGAAAATTTCGAAAATATTGATGACGAGTTTCATGAAAATACAAACAATCACAATTGGTTAGTAATACACAATAGTATCTTCAAAAACAGATTAATGGGAATGTTTATTTTCAGGTTTTGTGAAACAGAAATTGTTATTTTCGGTACTTCTGAACTGATGACACTACAATCGAATTATTTCATTTTTTTTTCTGATACGTCAGCTAATGCGGGTTGAATTTCACACAAATATAGTTTTCATTTCTTTCATTTGTAAAATTCACTATTTTTTTTAGTGGTAAAAGAGGGAGAGATGAAAATGTTTACAGCAACCCTTACATGTAGCCGGTGATGGACAGTAGCAATTTTCTCCTTTGACAAGGAATGACATTCATCTTAGTCACATCTACATACCATGAAGACAGGCATTTAGCAAATATAATCAGGCAACAGTAAGCCCAAGAATTTAGGACTCCAAGGTGCAGATAAAATAGTATTCCGAATTGGGAAACATGGCGGCGGCGGACGCCATTACTGTTGCAGAAAGTCTTCGAGTTTCGATATATCGAAAGGAACGGGCGCGGAGATTCGGTGCAATTCAAACAGGGCGCAATTTGTACTGATCAGAAAAATCAGTCAGAACAAGTCCGAAATAGAATTCTGCCATTATATATAACAGAAAATTGAAAAAGATAATAAGAACTACTTTTCTCGGGGTAGTTGTAAGCTGATAGTTGTGTACTACAAGTGACATCGGTGACATCGAGGCATCAAGGTTTGCTTCCACACCCTCTTATCTAATAAACTGAAGAGTGGATTGCGACTCAATGGTTCTGAAGTGCTACCGTGAAAATGACAATTAGCAACAGTATATTATGCGTGTGTTCTACTTTATTTTTATCACAACATTACAATAAAATAATGACAATTGAAAACAAATATTCATGCCTTTGTACATGAATGGAAAATGTGAAAGCTTTCACAAATATTGGAATAATGAATAATACATCTAGAATAGAATTTTATCAACCCATTAAGTCATCACAAAATTTGTGGTGTTAATACACTTTGAAGATAAACAACAATATAGCGACAACAGCGCTTATTATTGCAGAGATCAGTCTTCGCCAGCAGGGATAGCATCTTCTAGCCTTTTAATAAACTTCACCCTCAATTCAGTTACATTGTCACCCTTCAACTGGTCTTGGACAAACCAGGATGTGACTTCCATTTGAACCTAAACAATAATAATAAAATTACATTAATGGGTCATTGTGGACATGTCAATTGTAAACCAGGCAAGGTGAAATTGAGAGAGCAAACCATTTCACAGGCTCCACGCAGGACACCAGCTAAGATATTGCAGTACTTCAGGTTTAAGCAGTGATCTGGTAGTTCAACAAATTCTGTCAAAGGATTTGACTCGAAGATAAGGGAAAATTCATCACCTCCTGGACCCCAATTAGATATTGTCGGTGACACACCAAGGAAAATACGAAAGCCAGCCTGCCAAACCAAAATAACATTAAATTAGGAAAATAATCCAAGACTGAAAAGTTGAGGAAGAAATTAAACAGAACTACATACCTGTATTTTTTCAGCTGTGTCTTTGAAATCATAACATCTCCCAGATCCAGTACGAGCAAGGAAATCTTCAATGAGTCGAATACCAATATTGTAACCCATTCTTTCCAACTGCTTATTAACTTCATCTACGTTTTCATAGTCTTTCAAAAGTTGAGATACGAGAGTGCCATATGTAAGTGTGAACAGCTCTGAATTCTGAAATTTAAAGGAATTATTCAAATATTACATCAGAGTTGGCAGATTAAACAAATTTTCAAAGTATAACACAAAAAATATTTGACGGTGCACAATATAAAAATAATTTTCTCTGCTATTACTTGATTTTGCTCACTTCCAGAGGAGTTACAAGTGATTAATAATTTAAACAAAACAACGTAATTATAAGGGTTAAACTTTTGTGGAGAATGAGAAACAGTCTGTCTAAGTTATTTTTTTTGACATAACATACCACTTTCTTGGCGTCTAGCCTGGCTCCTTGTCTGGACATTATTGGGATATTGATGACTTAACAGGAAGCGGGCAAATTGTATAATAAAGAGCAATAGTCATATATTTGACAGTTTACTCCCTTCACAAACAAATAAATAAAGTTGAGGTTAGTCGTTTCGGCTCAAGTCTGAACGAAGGGGCACAAGAGGGCGCCACTGTTCATTTCTTTGACGTCACAGGGAGGTGCACATGTTTCCATTTTCTCGTCTGCTGCTTGCTGCTACGCTAGTTTTCTTAGGCAATAATTTGGTAAATTGCGTATCCAATTTTTTGTTTTACGCCTTGTATTGCAGGAATTTTGTGAGAAATCAACGACTTCATGAGTTTGCGATACCTGCATGTGCCTGTCTAAGTCATGAGAACAGATTTAATTGAGTTGTTTGTAGTGCCCTTAACCCGCAAACAAATCAATTAGTCCCGATGAACCTGACCCTGAGCTGTATCATGCTGTGATATCAGACCCGGCATGATTTGATACAGGCTCATTGCGACAGCGTTGCTCTTAGGCTTATTGCTGCTTGCAACAACTGATTTCTTCCCCTATTCATTTTCAGATTTACAATGGTCCACAGCGGTGAGAAAAGAAGTTCTGTGAAAGATGGTATTATTGACTTTACAGCTGGCTCTCTGGGTAAGTTATCTTTTACTGAATTGCGTTTGTTAAAGAAAACTAATTATAGTAGGATGCAGTTTCTTTCACTGCATCAACAATTGTGAAATCCATGCTCTTGATACTACAGGGGGTGTTGCACTGGTTTACGTTGGGCAACCTTTGGATACAATAAAGGTGAAAATGCAGACATTTCCACAGTTATACAAAAACATGTTTGACTGCATGAAGCAAACAGTTGGCAAGGAAGGGTTTATTCGAGGTCTATATGCTGGAACTGCTCCGGCCATAGTAGCAAATGTTGCTGAGAATTCTGTGCTGTTTGCTGGATACGGTTTATGCCAGAAAGCTGTCGCCAATTTGACAGCAGTCCAGGTAACAAATACAATATTTCTGCCATACTTTTGTTGTCTTTATTTTTTTCATATTTTTATCTAATTATTGAAAATTATCAGAGAGTGGAAGACCTCAGTGCAGTATCAAATGCTACTGCTGGCTGTATGGCTGCATTTTTCTCCTCATTTACTCTTTGTCCAACCGAACTCATTAAGTGTAAGTTACAAGCTGCAAGAGAAATGTCTATGGCTTCAGGAGCTTCATTGGTATGTTTGAGTTTTCCAATTTTCATGTTAAGATCTATCTAAAGTCTTTATTACAACTGATTCCAACTTCAAACTCATTGGGAATGTTTCAGGAAAAAATCGGTCCCCTTCGACTAACAAAACAAGTCTTGGCTGAATCTGGCATTAGAGGTTTATTTGTTGGGCTTGGCTCAACCATTGCAAGAGAAATGCCTGGATACTTTGTATTTTTTGGTGGTTATGAGTGGGCTCGAGAGATGTTCACAAAACCTGGTGAAGCAAAAGAAAACATTGGTATTATTTTCTCTGATGCAACCTTTTTTTAACTCCCTCATCTTATTTTTTTGAAAACTTTTTATACCTCCAAAATATTTTTTCAGGACCCCTAGCCACCATGGCTGCTGGAGGCGTTGGTGGCATGTCATTTTGGCTTGTAACATTTCCAGCAGATGTCATAAAATCACGTATACAGGTTTCCAGTCTTCAAGGAAATTTATACACCGTTGGGAAAGACATAGTTAAAAAAGAAGGTCAGTCATCATTATCATATCCTTTTCAATGTTACATGATTTGTATGTGCCAGAAAGTACAAGAAACTTTTGTTTACATTCTATCGTACTAGGTGTGGCTGCCCTTTACAATGGACTTCGCCCAACTCTCCTCAGGACATTCCCAGCAACAGCTACATTATTCCTCACTTATGAATATTCAAAGAAAATAATGCATGAGCTCTTCAACAGTAATTCATCTGACCTAGCAAATCCCATTTGACATTCTTGAAATCTATCCAAGCCAAAAATGGCACTAAAACTATTTTAGAGATTCAAACTATCTCTGCTTTTTTGTTTGTAGTCAGTTGCGTTCCTATTATTTGACTTAGCTTATTCATAGCTAAAAAGTCTTCCATTTATATTGATCACGTATTTGTGTGAATTAGAGTAAAGCTGGAGTAAACTTCATATTTTTTCCTTGAACCAGTCTATGGGTACAAATGTATCTCTAAATCTTTATTGTCATTGTATTGACCACGTTGTTTATTCTCGGGCTCTAAGCATATATCTTATTTTCTGTGCTCTTTTCAGTATTTGGCCTGAACATTATCGTTCTATTTTTTGAAACTTTCAATTTCTACCTAGATTTGAGATGAGATTTTGGTATTTTGTACCAATTTTTTGGACCACGAGATGGAATGCGCATCCACTGTCATACCTCATCCAGTTCCAGGGGACTAATGTACTTCTTAAGTTCATGTATTATGGAAACAAATTGGAAAAGGTATACCGTTTATTGACATATTTATAAAATTGTGTATTGTGTGGCATAATTTTTAAAAAGTGCAGAAGTACCTGGTTTTGTTTCATTCAACTTCAGCATGTTGGGGGTAGTGTACGGTATGTGGGATGCATCCTCTCTTATTTGAATTTTTCTCCATGTTAACTTAAAATTCTCAGGGATCATGTCAATTTTTCTAGTGCTCGGAAATGGTTTTCTGATCTTTCCAGACAGTAGTCACCAACATCATCCACTATTATCTTCTTCCATCTATCTTTTAAGAAATTCTGTACCTGTGCAAGTAAAGCTCACTAGTTAATAATTTTTTCTGTACCAAAGGTGATTTTATCTTTGATAACATTGGCTTCTCCAATGCCTGTGATAAACCCATCTAATCAATGTTAAGCTTGAAATTGGCTGCCGGAGGCACATGCTTCACTTTTGATTTTCCATTGATGAGTGCACCTTGATTTATTATAAAAAATGTAAGTAAAGTTTTGTCCTTTCATTCATTTGTTTGTCAAGGGCTACAATTCATTCATATTTTTTGAAATCTATGTAAGTATCAAGTTGTCTTCCACAAAAAGATTTAACCTTCTGAGGTCCTATTGTCATTTTCCCTTTACAATAATGAAATGTATTTGGGTCATTGTACCTTTCTGTAATACTTTAATGTCTTCCATTAAATATATAATGTACAAATTATTGTTGTGATTCCATTTATTGTTGTAGATAGAATGGGGTCTTACTTGTAAACTTCTATAGCTGGTCTTAAATATTGTATGTTGTGTGCTGTTAAATTTGTTTCACTATTACATTAAAAATGGTTGAATAATTGATCATAGATTTCTTCTTTTGCTTGTACCCATTTCACCATTTCCATAGAGACTAAAGTTTTTATTTTTGTTCAGCTTATATCTTTATTATTAAAACTTTGTAAGAAATGACATGCATCTAAAGTACAAATGAAACTTACAATCTATTTGCATTATTTATAAATACTGATAATATCGTGTAATGAGATTTGATGATGAAAGCAGTATCACAATGGCACAACTCAGAATTTCAGTCTCTAGAACAGACAAAATAAAATTATATAAATGCATTATTGTGTCTTGAACTGTAAAATTAGTTACCTTACATAAATTGTTCGATGATAGCCACAGTATCGCATATTATCAATTCAATGGTTTTCTGGTGTTTGCAGAGTTCATAGGACTTCTATGTAGAACAAATAGCCGTTTTTGTTTTCCAGAGGTCCCACCAAACAAGATAAAGAACAGCAGTCTGAGATCAGAGAAGTATCAAAGTGGTATTTAAGAGTCGAGTACTCTTGATACCACCGTGCACAATATGGCGTTGACGCAGAGCCAAGGGGGAGTGAAGTCACTTTGGATACTCAGCGAGAAAAGCGAGTCACGTCTTGGGCGGGATGACTCCGTTCATACTTTTGAGTTCGGTCGATATCTTCTCCGGCTGAAGTCGCGCAGCTGCTTCGGTGTCCGCGTCGACGTCTCCTTGGCGCCGGCCTCTCCTCCCCTTGAAGTACTCCTCGACGTCACTGAGGCTGCGGCCCTGGGTCTCGGGCAGCACGAGCACCACGAACAGCGTGCCCAGCAGCGCCATGACGCCGTAGAAGAAGAACACGCCGTGGCGCTCCAGCGCGTGCGAGGCGCCAGGGTGAGCCTTGACCACCGCGAAGCTGTACAAGTAGGCCGAGCAGGTGGTGAATCCGCCCGCCACGCCGCGGAAGCGCACGGGGAAGACCTCGCCGATCATGGCCCACGGCAGCGTGAGGAACCCGAGGGTGCTGGCCAGGATGAAGGTGACCAGGGCGGCAGCGGGCAGCCATGGTCTCGGCTGCAGAAGGTCGCCGGCCGCTGACCCGGACTGCAGCAGCAGGTGCGTCGCCAGCGCCATCATGCACACCGTCATACCGGCCCCGGAGATGATGGCGAGCGGACGGCGCCCAACCTGGAAGCCAGTGGAATGGGTTGCAGTGAGAGCGAGAGCGGTAAGACACGATCGGCCCATCCTAGCGCACGCTAGGCTGCGCCTACCTTATTGGAGAGGAAGCCGGTGACGAACGTGACCAGGAGGCGGGCCAGGCCGATCATGACGGCGACGAGGTACGGGTCCGCGGCCACGCCCGCCTCCACCACCATGTCCACGGCGTAGAAGATGACGACAAACACACCGCTGAGCTGCTGGAAGAGGAAGAAGGCGTTCATGATGAGCAGCGGCTTCCAGCACTCGGGGCGGCGCAGGTCCCGGAGCACGCCGCGTATCCCGGTCGGCGCCTTGCCGCCGGCCGCGCGCGGTGGAGGCGGGGGACGTTCGCGGAGGAGGGCGGCGAGCTCGTCGTCCGCCTCGGCGGGCGAGCGTGCCAGGCGGGTCCGCGCCAGGGCGGCCCTGGCCTCAGCGACCCGGCCGCGGCCCAGCAGCCAGACTGGGCTCTCCACCGCCACCGCGTAGACGAGCACGAGCGTGAGGAGCGGGAACACGGCGCACACGGCGGCCACCAGGCGCCACGACGGCAGCACCGCGCCGATCACGTACACCTGTGGGACAAGAGCGCCTGCCCGTTAGTAGTCGCGAGGACGCGAAACATCGTCTAGCGCGTTTGAACAGAACTTACAACGACGATTCCCAAGGAGATGGCAATGGACGTCCAGGTGACGAGCATCCCTCGCAGCTCTTTGAGGCCCACCTCGGCCACGTACACGGTGCCGGGCACGGAGCCCATGCCGGTGGCGAGGCCGGTGAGGATGCGGCCGCCGTACACGAGGCCGAGGCCGTTGCCAAAGCCGAGCAGCTCGTCCAGGGGCAGTGCGAGCATCAGCCAGCCCAGCAGGGCGGGGACGTTCTGCCAGAGCAGCGCGGGACGCCGCCCCAGCCGGTCCAGGAGCCAGCCGCTCAGCAGGCAGCCCACGGGGGTCGCGAGCGCGGCCACACCCGCTGGAAAGCACAAGACGGTCACCATCGAGCACGTGTCGTGCCGCAGGACACCTCACCCGGGTGCTCGCGCGGCCTCACCGATCCAGGATGCCTCCTCAGCAGTGACGGTCAGAGTGGAGTTGGGGTGCCTCATCTGGGGCAGGGCGACGGCGGAGAAGCCCAGGTTGGCGCCGGCGGAGAGACCGCCCATGTTGGCCACCACGCCGAGGAGCACCTGCATGAGTAGGAGCCTCCGGTGCGGCGTGGGGCTGGGGGGAGGCTCCTTCTCGCCCATCTTGCCCGGCTTGTGCTTCTCGGCGGGGATGCAGCACTCTGGGACCCACCCCACCTGAGGACAGGGAAGACCATTCTACGTCAGCAAACACAAGTGGATGGCGGATGGACCCTCGACGCCAGATGCGTCGCAGTTTCGTTATCTCATGTAGACAGCCATAAATTTAAAATCCGCCGGGTTCTTTGAAGGGCGGTGTTTCCTGTTCTCGCCTGGGGTTTGCGCGTGGCGCGTGCACAACCATCAACCCACACTTCGCTTTGAAAGATTTGTACGAGAAAATATAAAAGATTTCAATTGCTTCAATGAGGACTGCAAATCTTAGCGACCCTAGATTCATCAAACCCCTCGCCTAGCATTGCTGGAACGCAGAGATTTTGAGATGAAGCCCCGAGAGCGCCGTGCGGGTAGGCACGCCTGTCGAGCACGCCTGTTGTGCGGGACAGTATTCTTGACTTCCGAAGGCGCCGTCTCGGTGTCGCGCACTCCTCCAGCCGAAAAATGTGCGTAGTTATCCAATCCACCCTCCCTATAAAATCGAACCCAACAAATCGAATTCAAACCACCACCCGCCCTTCGCCCTCAGTGTACCTTGTTCCGGAGCGTTTCCCGGACATCATAGACCAGTTCCTGCTGATCCTTGTTCACAACCATCTTGCGGCAGGGGAGAGGGGCGGCGTTCAGGCACGGTCTCGACGGGGGCCTCGCTTCTCCTGCTCCGCGGGCGGACGGGTCGGTAGTGCGGGCCGCGGCAGCCCGTGCCCCACATTTATGAGAGGTCCACACGGTGCGGTACGTAAGCACACCGCCAGGGGGACGCGACGCAGCACCTCTCTCGCGCTACGCTGCGCGATCCGAGCCAAATCCAGGAACTCTGATTATCGCAAGGGCGAGGGCGGGGGAGGGTGCAGGTGGTGAGCGTTCTCTGTTGTACAATTGTCACGCACTGCACTGGCACTCTGTACGGGCGTCGCAAACG